CGCCCCGTCTCCCGTCACCCGCCGACTACCGCAGCCACATTCGAAATTCGCATCCGCTCTCGCCCATTGGCTGGCTGGGTGGCGGTCACGTGAGGCGGCGGCGCATTCGCCGACGCAGGCAGAGCCCCGCCCCCTCGGGCGTCCTCACGTGACTCACTGTCGTCAAGCATCCACATCCGGGCACTCTCCGCCCGAGTCCCGGGAGGGCGGAGCCGGCTGTCAAGCGGGTGGACCTGCCGGCACTTTTGCGCTCTGAGTTGTTGGCTTCTGGGGGCGGAGCCGCTCCCAGTCCTTTGAAGGGTGGGTATTTTAGGGCTCAGAAGCTTCCTGTTTTAACTTTAGTTTTGCGGCGTCCCCTCTTCGAGGTTGTGCTCTAGGGTTCCCTCTTGCGAGAAGAAGCTCCTTGTTTGCTTGCCCGCCCAGGCAGTCGGACTGCTGCACCGAGGCAGCTTTTAGGGAGAACAATAGGGAGCACATTTTGGATTCACAGGATCTTATTGGGGAAGTTGCAGATCCCTGAGATATTCGGCGGCGGGTTCGTTCTCTTAACCCGGCTACCTGTGGCTCTTTAACCGGCAGGAAATGGCAGCAGCATCCATCCAGTTCCCTACCGGGGAGTCTGGGGAATCTTTCTGATTGATTCTTTATTCTCCCTTAGCCTTTCAACGTCCAGTCATCCAGTTCTATTTTCTAAATATTTCCCACGTCCAAACGTCGCTATTTCCCATCCCCTAAGCCAGCCTACTACCTGGTCTCTTTCCATGAGCCGCGCAGGTGCCTACTCTGACCGCTGGCTCCACTCTTTATGTTCTTCATGGTGACATTTGGACAAAGCAGATATGATTGATTAGGAAACTCCTAAATTAAGGCTGCCCACGGCATTTAAGAACTCGTAGGTATTTGGTCCTGAAAGATCCTCATGATTCCTGGTCCCACCTGTTCTGAATTTTCTTGCGTTTCGTTGGAATTCCCCTTGCTGGTTTTGCCCACACTGTGCTGTGCATCAAGAAGGGTTTTTCCTCCCCCGCCTCACCCCCCCGCATCCCATGTAACATTTAACTCTTATGCATGCTGCAGGTGTCACTGTCGAGGTAAATTCTTGCAGAAGCCTTATCTGTCCTCAAAGCTCCATTAAGTACCCTGCTTTGTGCTTCCTTAGTGCCGTGCATGTTCCCCTGGGTTACCTTGTGGCACAGACTTGTCATTCATTGCCTGGTTATTCAAGTTGAATAAGGGTAGGAACTCTATCTACCTGTTCATAGTTAAATCTTTAGCATCTGTTTAGCAATTTGAAGTAAGTTGGTAAATATTCACCGGGACAATAAAGCAATGGATAAACAACCTAAACAAGTGCTTTGAATTTAGACATTCACTTTATTAAAGTTGTGGGGTTTTTTGTTTGTTTAAAAAAACCACATTTAATTAGTGGGGTAATCACATTGTAAGATATAAAAATATTAAATCCATACAGCGCACACTGACATAACCAATATAAGATTGTATACTATTTATTTTCTAAGGAAAAAGAAATTTTTAGAAAGATAACATTTACACCCTTACCCTAGTCTAAGCCTCACCTCATTCCTTCCTGGTTTCAGTGGAAGAGATTAGAACATCCTTCTCTACATCCAACAACAACCTGTTCTCCAGTGTCATCCACCAGACGACCTCCTTTAGTCCTCAGTTTGCTACACCTGGGCAGTGTGACTCCTATGTGCAGAAGAATCAAGAAGCAAGGAGCAGAGAGGTTTTTTAATTGCTTGAGGCCAGAGGGTATGAAGTGGAAGGTGAGAGCAGGGCTGGATTCATGGACGTGTGACCTGTTTTCGCCCAAAAGGCCCCGCAGTTAGTTTAATGCTCTGCTCTTGCCATCTTGAAATGCTTAATCATTTATCTTTGAACTTGTGACTTGTAAGTGAAATCTGATGAGACAGTGGAACATGCACATGAATATATGAGATACATATGTGTGTCTGGAACTGCCTTTTGCTGCCTTATTGCCATACAGTGTGCAGGATGCTCACTTAAATGGCTTCCATGATACACTTACTTTGTACTTGGGGCCATGTGTTCAGAAGGGCTTCACACTTCGTTTAATAGTCTGTGGCCTTCTTGTAATTCTTAACAGTTTTATCTTTGAACTGTGTACTCACTTTGAATTCCATTGAACTTTCATGCTTTTTAGCCCAAAAAAACTATTAAAATCTAATGTGAGAGTCTTTATTACCAGACAATTTTAAGAAACTAAAGTTGACTTTATGGAGCCAATAAAGCCCTTTGGATATTAGCAAAACTTTAAGTGAAATATCATCTCTAAAAACGTGCATAAAATTACTATTCTTACTATATGTGTTTAAAACTAGGCCAAATTTAATGAGACTAGGACTTATTTTACAAATGAAGTAGTGTTACTGTGAATATCTTTGGTAAAAGTGAGGTAACTGTAGAGAGAAAAATTGTATTGTAATAGAAAACTATTGTGTACCCATTATCAGATTCTAGTCCTGTTTACTGTCTGAGGTTTTGTTATCTACCTGCAAACTGGCCTGGTTCCTGAATTTTTCTAGTTTCCCCTAATATCTGGCTACAACTCTTCAAACCAACATTTCCAAATTTCTCCCACCTTTTAGACTTAGAATCAGTAAAACCTAAAACTATCCTTTCCCCCATACTTTAACTAGCTAAAGGGGGACCACTCAATATAAACTTCAGAGACATCACCATGACGGATCATATACAGTATGTGCCTTCTTCGTGCCTATGTCTGTGTAGGCCACTCAGAGAGTTCACCAGAACACCCTGACATCACTAGACATTCAAACTGCAAACCAGGAAAATTCATCAGATTGAAACTGTCATCATTCTACCACCTAAAGAGATGCTTTGATCTAAAAAAAAAAAAAAGATAGTTTAAAAAATCTATAGGCCAAAAGTAAAATTACAAAAAAAGATGCTTTGATCTCAAACCTAGAAAATTTCCTGACTGATTGATCTTTAGACTCAGAAACTAAGTTTATGATTTGCTCCAACTATTAACCTTTTTTCTCTTGTTTCCACAGAATACCTGAGTGCTCATACCACATAGTTCTACTTAGATGGAAGCTCTTCTGCAATGCTACCTCTTGAAGGTATGTATGTATAGGAAAAAAAACATATATATAGGGTTTGGTACTATTTGTGGTTTCAGGCATCCACTGGGGGGTCTTAGAACATATCTCCCCCCCTCCACTTAAAGGGGACTACTATACTTTAAAAAATCCATAGTGGAAGTACACTTAAAACAATTTGAGACATGTAGTCAATCAAATTAATCATCATAATAGAAAGTGGTTATTCCCCTTATCTCTTTTCTGAAGTATGTTACTCTCTTCAAATATTGGAAATTACTTCTTGTTATGGTGTGAATGGTTGTTCCCCCACCCCCACCTCACCCCCCAAATTCACATGTTAAAATCCTAATGCCCAATATGATGTTGTTAAGAGGTAGGATGTTTGGGAGGTGCTTAGGTCATGAAGGCAGAGTCCTCATGAATGGGATTAACGCGCTTATAAAAGAGACCCCACAGAGCTCCCTAGTCCCTTCCACCATATAAGGGCACAGCAAGAAATCACCATCTATGAACCAGGAACCTCTCAATAAGCATGAATCTGTCAACACTATGGTTCTGGAATTCTCAGCCTCCAGAACTGTGGGAAATAAATTTCTATTGTTTAAGCCACTATGGTATTTTGGTATAGTAGCCTGAATGAACAAACACACATATTAAAAGAAATAATTCATAGCACACTGATAATATTCCATAAGTAAAGAGGAAAAGGTATACATAGGACTTAATTTAGTTGAGAAAACAAGGTACAGACTTGTTACATAACAGAAAGTTATGGAACAGTTATTTAATAGCCAAGAAAGCTAATGACCTAAGATAACAAGGAAATGAATATTGCCAAGACAGAGTTAGAAAATGAATGTTGCAGGGAGCGGGAGCAGGTTAGAAGGGGTCAATGGGAAAAAAAGGGGGAAATCTGTAACACTTTCAACAATAAAGATACATTTTAAAAAGTAAAATTATTTCACAGAACTTAAAAAATAAAAGAAATTGAATGTTTCACCCTGGCAGGTATGCTCAGTGGTTAGAGTGTTGGCCTTCGCACCAGAGGGTTGCAGGTTCATTTCCCGCTCAGGGGCACCTACTTGGCTTACAGGTTTGATCCCCGCCCCTAGTCCGGGTATCTCACACATCGGTGTTTCTCTTTCTCGCTTCCCCTCCCTCCTTCCTTCCACTCTCTAAAAATCAGTGGAAAAAAATATCCTTATTCCTTGGGTGAGGGAAAAAAAAAAAGAAAATGAATGTTGCTAGTTGAGGAAATTGAAGTGGTGGAGTGACTTTAATGAAGATTTTATTCATTCACAGAACAAATGCATTTTTAAACACTAAGACAGAGACTACTCTTGCGTACCTGATATCCCTTCTTCTCTTTTCCCTTAATAATAGAATTTCTATATTGTTAAGATAGCAATGTGCTCTGTTATAATGAACATTTCAAACCTCCTTTTCACAGGAATGGTTAATGTAACTGGAAGGCCTTGTGTAGGGAACTATGTAAATTCCAGGACATATTTTCTTAAGCTTGGAGCTTAAGTAGAGTCTAAGTCCGAAACCAACTATAGTGAAAAAGGTTTTATTTTTCATGCCACATTTTATCATGCTGAACTTATTTTTTTCAGTGTCTGTCTTTCCTAAAATGCATAAGCTCTAGGAGGACAGGACCCGTGTCTGTTTTGCTTTATATGGGATCCCTGAAGAGGCACAAAATAAATATTTGTTGTATGAATGAATGAACGAATGAATGAAGTATTGACTGTTGAATTTTGTGTTGAGAAGGATTCTGAGTTAGTACTATCTCAAGGGAAATAATGTCCTTGTCAATTTATTGTGACTGTCTTAGGTATGCCATAGGGGAGGGAGTACATACATGCCAGAGATGGGTCATTTCCATTAAAGCTTTATGCTATTAACCCAGTATGTGGCTGAACATAATGTTATGCTATTTTAATGCTGAGTTTGATTTTATGTGTTGATGTAATTTATATATATAAAAGCCTAAGCAACCTTTACAGTTGAACGACTAGCTGGTAGCTATGATGTGCACTGACCCCCAGGGGGCAGATGCTCAATGTAGAGCTGCCCTCTGGTGGTCAGTGTGCTCCCACAGCCAACCTCCCATGGCTGACCAACCTCCAGCCATCCCTCCCCCCAACCCCCCTGCTGGCTGGCCCCAATTGGGACTGGACAAGATGGCTCCGATTGGCCCTGATCGCTGGCCAGGCCGAGGGATCCCACCCATGCATGAATTTGTGCATCGGGCCTCTAGTGAACTAGTAAACACTTATGTATCAGTAAAACAGTTAAAAGCATTAAAGGAATAATAAGAATGTTAAACTTGGAATAAAATTAGTTTGCTTAGTTCAATCTCCTTCAAGTTATAGATTTTGGAGGTTAAGTGATTTATTGAAAGTCTCACAGTTTCTTGAAGTGATTTCTTGTATTTGCTCCTCCCCAACATGTTCCTGCCTCACCTTATTAACCACCCTACCTCACCTAATTTAACTACTCATTACAGAGCTGTATGTCTAATTATTCTAGCACAAGGGAGAGATAGAAACAACAGAGTCTGAAGTTTCATTTGCTCTTTTCTTCCAATATCCTCTCACATCATTTTTTTATTAAGTCAAATTAATTGTAAGTACACAAAGATCGAAACTCTGATACAGCTTTTCATTAAAAAACACACATTGTGAATCATACACACTCAATTACATATTTTGCTTAGAAATATTTATTCTACGTTCATTTCTGTTATACAAAACTAGAGGTCTGGTTCATGAAATTTGTGCACAGGTAGGGCCCCTAGGCCTTGCTGGAGATCAGGGCTGATTGGGGCCTTCTGGCTGCTGGCTGAGGCCTTCCTTTGTTCCATGCTGCCCCCTGGTGGTTAACACACGTCATAGCGACTGGTCGAACTCCCGGTCTCCTGGTCGAACTCCTGAGGAGACACTTTGCATAGTAGGCTTTTATATATATTGATATCCTCAAAAATCTACCTTGTGGTTTATCTTTTTGATACTATTTTCTAATTTCTTTTGTGAACAACTTTCTTCAAATAAACAGAATTTTTGTTGACCCTACAACTGCTGAAAGACTAGAATGGAAATGTGCACTGAGAGAAGATAAGTTTTGCCTTAAGATGGCACTGTGTGTCAGAGAAAGAGGCAAATTGCAAAGGAGATACAACAACTAGAATATGATTTCTAGAAGTAGTCAAGAGGTGCCCACACAGTTGCACAACCCCAAACTAATTAATTCTTAGATTTTCTATGGCAGTCCTATTATATTAGCATGGCTAGTTACAAAGGAAATGTATCAGCTTCATGTGCAATGTGTAACAATAGGAAAAAAATGAGAATTTATTATTTTTCAGCATTTTTGTGTTTTAAATATTATGTTGCTCAAATAGAAATACAGTGTTTATTTATATTTATTTTTTTAAAATATATTTTTATTGATTTCAGAGAGGAGGGGGGACGAGAGAGATAGCAACATCAATGATGAGAGAGAAACATTGACCGGCTGCCTCCTGCATGCCCCACACTGGGGATCAAGCCCGAAACCTGGGCATGTGCCCTGACCGGTAATCAAACCATGACCTCCTGGTTCATGGGTCGACGCTCAACCTCTGAGCCACACTGGCTTGGCGAAATGCAGTGTTTATTAATAGCATCAGCTTTTGGTCATGACATAGTATGGAGTTGTAATTAAAATAAAATATGGTTAACTCTAGATGTAGATCATATAATTAAATTGACTTGTTGCAGAACATTAAATAGTGAATTATTCCTGTTAACAGTGGTCAGCTAACTCTGTCAGACTGGGAGAATGTGAATGTGCGCTGAGGAAGTAAGTTTTGCCTTACTGAAGAGACAGATTGGGGTGGTCAGATATTGAAACTTTTTCACTGGGGAACTTGGTAAAGACACTGAGGCACAAGTCTTAGCTTATCTCATTGAACCTGGCCTCGCCTCTTTATTAGTTCACCAGGCGATTCTGATTGATATTAACCAGACCTTTATGTGCATGCCAGTCACCTGGGGGTCTTGTTAAAATGCAGACTCTGACTCAGCAGATTTGAGGGTAAACCCGAGATTCTGCCTTTCTAACCAGCTCCCAGGTATTGCCAGTGCTGCTTATCTAAGACAGTGACTCTCAAACTTTGTGCGCACTAGAATCACCTGGGGAGTTTAGAAATTACTGTTAGTACCAACCCTAGGTAGCTTGATTTGGTGAGTAGGTAGATGGAGTGAAGCCACATACTAGGGATTTTTAAAAGCTTCCAGGTCATTGTAACATGCAGTGAAGTCTGAGGACACATGCAGTAAGTGACCAATTGTAGGACACCTGGTCTTTGGCCACTCACCCTCTTGACCACTTTAGGTTCTAAACCCCATTTTGGAGAGAGATCTACTTTCCTGTCTCCACCTGGGAACAAGGGGCATGGGCTCAGAGGAGAAAGGGCAAGAGATAAGACACCAAGGTGGGAGTGCGGGCACCAGAAGGGGATTATTATGGTTTTTGTCAGTGAAAGGTCAGAACTCACAGCCCTGGTTTCACCAACAAAATATTTCCACTTTTTTTTAAAGCATGGAAGAATTGCTTTATGAAGGTTTAAGAAGCACTGAGTATAATTACATTGTCGTCCAGAGTTAGATAGAATTTACTAATAGTTCAATTTCAAAATAAAAGTAGGTGAGACCATGGAGTTTCCCAACACTTGATTTTAATACATTGCACTAATTTTCTAAAGCAATTAAGGGGATCCAATTATTACAGTAGATGGAGTATTTATGAAAATTCTGGCATCAGGTATATTATATGTGTAAATGTATATGTGTATATCTCCCAAGGTTATATGAATTAGGAAACAGGTGTAGTAGATCTGAACAGCAGTACTTGAGTGCAGAGTTTGAGACTGGGATTTAGAAATGCTTTTCAAGGCATGGTGTTTGGAAAAGGGGCAGACATTTTGTTTTCAAAACCTGTCATTTCTCTCAGGTCTGAAGTCAAAATTATAA